AACAAAAAAAAAAAAAAAAAAAAGAATCTAAACTGGATGCAATGTCTCATGCCTATGATCCTAGCACCTTGGAAGGCTGAGGGGGAAGGATTGCTTGAGTGAGGAATTCGAGACCAACCTGGGCAACACAGTGAGATTTTGTTTCTACAAGAAATCAAAAAATTAGTTGGGCATTGTGGCATGTGTCTGTAGTCCCATCCTCTTGGGATGCTGAGGTGGAAGGACAGCCTGAGCCCAGGAGGTCAGGAATGTGGTGAGCCATGATCATGCCTGGGTGACAGAGTGAAAATATCAACTCAAAAAAGAAAAAAAAAAATTCCCTCTGAAAACTTGGGAGGTTTGCTTTAGATCTTTCATTGAGTGATCCCAAGAAACCTAAATTCAAAGTTCTTTGAAAATGGCAAATATTTGGTTTCTTTCTTAATTCCTTTCCTTCTTAATGTATTTATTTCTTTTTGTAGCTAGAACTCCAGGCACACACCACCATGCCCTGCTAGTTTATTATTATTATTGTTATTTTATTAGTGTTTTTAGTTTTTAGAGATGGGTCTTGAATGTTGTCCTGGCTAGTCTCAAATTCCTGGCCTCAAGTGATCCTCCTGCTTCTGCTTTCAAAGTGCTGCGATTATAGGCATGAACTACCATGTCCATCCCAAACCCTGCATTTCTTACCGATGCTCCAAAACATATCATGTATGAGGTGGTCCCAAGGAAACCTCTTATCTCCTTTCCTCATCCCTTCTACCCTTCAGTGAACATTACTGTGCCCAACAACGTGTCTGCCTGTCTTCTGGCAGGCAACCGGCATGCAACTGCGAGGAAGATGCTGAGAAGGCGTCAGTACTCATGGAGGTCTGTCCGATCAACAGAAACTTCACACAGAATATATAAATCCTCTGGCTGATTCCAGTGTTATTTCAAATCTCCAAGCCATCCGCATCCATAATACATATTTATGGCCTATTGTCTCTGTGCATAGTAACGGCAATTAAATATCACCTTATAAGCCTTCCAAATATGTCAGAAATTATAAGCTACACTGACCACAATAATTGGTTTGCCACTGCAATGCCATCTCCCCCAGGACTGAGAAGCAGCGGAGATTCCATTTGCCTGAAATTAGCACCTGGATGTTTGGGTGAGACAGTGAGGGATCGCTAATCGAACTGAAAATAGAGCCATGTTCAGGAAGCAGAGTGTGCTTGTCCTGCTGGAAAGAGAATGGTGTGGGAAAACAGCTTCTCATCCCTCCTCAGGAGGAGAGAATCACAACTTCACATTATGCCCTGTGCCAGCCATGGGGTGTATTTCTGACTCAGGTACAGAGAGGCCACGTAATGTGAATGAATCTCCACCAGCCCCTGCATTCTTGATAACCCACCAAAGACTCCAGAGCCCAGCAGCTTGGATAGGAGCCACGAAAACATTTACTCAAGGCAACTCATTTCTCTTGTGTGGACAGGATCATTTATATAGTAGACATTTAGAAAAGCTTTGTGAGCACTCAGGGCTGCAAGCTCTCTCAACAAGAGAGCAAAAATTTGTAACAAACACATCCGCATCAACTCATTGCTAGACACTAAGTGCTGTTTAGAAAACAATCTGCCCAGTCCTAAAGCTGGGAGGACAAGGGCTTTTTTGATCACAGACTCCTTGAGAACTTATTGAAAGCCATGGCCCCCTCTCTCTACTCTATTTTTCTCTCTCTCACATGTATATACATGCCCACACGTGTGCACAGGCATGTGTATGCACATGCTCACATGCAGTTTCAGGGCTGGGGGCATCAACCTCCCTGGATTCTACCCATGGGCTTTCCACTCCAGCTGGAGAAGCTACAGTTCGGTCAGCCTGATTTTCAGCAGGCTGCTGCTTCACAATGGGAAAATGGAATTCTTTCCTGTAACCCATGCACTCCCCGGGAATCTTCCAGTGCCTCCATACTCTCTAGTTGGAGAACTGGGTCCAATAATTTTATTTATTTGTTTGTTTGGTTGGTTGGTTATTTTTGAGTTGGAGTCTCACTCCATCACCCAGGCTGGAGCACAATGGCATGCTCACAGCCACAGCAGCCTTGTCTCTCTGGGCTCAGGCAATCCTTCTCTCTCAGCCTCCCAAGTAGCTGGAACTACAGGCATGTGCCACCATGCCTGGCTAATTTTTTTTTATTTACTGTAGAGTTGAGATCTCGCCAAGTTGCCCAGACTGGTCTCGAACTCCTGAGTGCAGACAATCCTCTCGCCTCGGCCTCCCAAAATGCTGGCCTTCCAAAATGATGGGATGAGTACAAACTATGTCTGCTCTCTGATGAGAGAAAGATGGATATGTATGAAGATAAAAGAAGCCCCACATGGAAGACCTCTTTGTATAAAATTATTGGATCCGCCAAGCAGACTCTTTCACACATGATTTACTACGGTGGGACATATTGAGATATTCCATCAACACAGTGATTGGTCATCTATCTACGCTACAAGGCTTTGGGTCTGAAGGGGTAGGGACTGGAAGATGTTTAAGACAGGTCTTCCAGAGAATATAATCTATCAAAGATAAGATGCAGACCACATAACACAAGCTTAGTGTTAGGACTGTATTTATAGTTGTGCTTGTAGAAAATAAATATATTTCTTGCTAGATTTATCTGGCAAGTGGTGACTATGTTTTACTTCAGACCTCCACAGCAAATAGAGCCTCTAACATCATCATTCTAAGAAGCTCTGAAGAATAACATTTTTAAAAATCGGTGTTTATTTCTTACCAGACAGGGCTGTCAAATTTGCATTTTTGATGAAAATTTCAGTTATTCCAAGAGCCTTCAAAACATCTTTTAAATCCACTTCCTGTTCCACTGTGAACCTGGAAAACATAGAGAAAAGTATCTAGTTCCAGTATCTTGTTACCAGGGACAAGGAAAAATGTTAGACATGTGGATTTTAAAAGTCTATGACCTAGAGGGCAAATTATGCTAAAACTGGCTTTTGACTGCAAGCGGCATCCAACTGTGCTTGTAAAAAGAGGGGGTATCAAAGAGAATGACACAACAAAATAGAATTTAAGTTCATAAGTAGGAGTCATGTGATGTAGACACAAGACCGTAAAAAGGGGTTGGAAGAATGGGTTTTGAGATGAAGAATCATTATCGTGGGACCTTGTCTAACGAGTCACTATTATAGATGGAAAGGAGTGTCTATTTGTATTCTAGCAATAATTGGAGTAATCTGAGTAATAGTTTAGTCTTGGCGCCTTGACTATAAATTAGTCAAATCTGGTGTCTTTTTCATTCTAATGTTTGGAGTGTCTAGCATGGGACCACCCACACAGGTTGAAGCGAAATTACATCTAGGTGTTTGTAAGACTTTTTGTTCAAAGTTGAAGACAAGATGTAAATAATCTCCATTTGTCCACTCCTTGTCACTTTTTCTTTATCAAACTATTGAAAACCAGCTATTATTCATGCATTATCTCTTTCCTCTGAATATAGACTGATATTAATGGAAGCAATTGTCCTCTTCCATGTATCAAGGGTTTACCACATTATGGGTATAATGCAAATCCTTTTAGTGTTCGGTATCTTATTTAATCATTTCTATGAAGATCTCAAAGGACCCTACAAAATAGGTCTTATCCTCTCTAGGCTACAGAAGAGCAAACTGAGGTTTAAAAGAGCTAAGTGGGCCAGGTAATCCCAGCACTTTGGAAGGCTGAGGTGGGAGTATCACTTGAGGCCAGAAGTTTGAGACCAGCCTGGGCAACACTGCAAGATCTCATCTCTACAAAAAATAAAAAATAAAAATAAAAACAATAGCTGGATGTAGTGGCACATGTCTGTAGTCTCAGCTACTTGGGAGGCTGAGGTGGAAGGATTACCTAAGCCCAGTAGGTCAAGGCTGTGGTGGCCGTGAGCATGCCACTGCACTCCAGCCAGGGTGACAGAGTGAGACCCCAAATAAAAAAAAAAAAAGAGTGAAGTGACTTTCCCTCCTCAGACACATAACAAGTGGTTGAATAAACCTCTGAACTGTCTGACTGCAAAGCTGTCCATCAGTAGTCTTTGTAATTCCAACAATGGCTTTCTTTTTTTTTAATTTTTAATTTTTAATGTAAAGATGTGGGATACAATTCAAGGTTAGGTATACAATCATTGATCATGCATGTACCCCATCCAACAATGGCTTTCAAAAATAAAACATCAGAGGCAGATTTTACATTTTACCTCATGTAAAAATAAGAAGCCGCAATACTGCTTTTTAAAAGCCAAAGGGCATCCCTGTCTTAATAAAGGTGCACATGTTATTCTGCATTTGCGACCTTCTACCTGAGTTAGTTGAAAAGGCACTGAGGGCACAGGCATAAAGACCTGCTGAGCAAGTGTGAGACATTAAAGGACAAATCCATCCTCCTTGGGAGATCACAACATGTGTAAGCAACTAAAAATCCAGTCAAGCCCTCTGCAGAAAAACCTCAGGAGAAGCGTTCATGTCGAAAAACAAAATCAGATGACTAGTGCATTGTTTTCTTTCTCTCTATTTTAAAGATGTGGGGTACGATTCAGGGTTAGGTACATAAGCGGTCATTATACAGGTAAAGTTTGGGTACCCATATTGATGTTATGTGGCCCCTCCCCTGGCAGTACCCCACTCCTGCCAATTCCTTTCTTAAGTATTATGATAAATGTTCAGGGTCTGCTTACAAGTGAGTGCATATGGTACTCTGATCTTTGTTTCTGTGATAAATCAGAGTCCAGAGTGCTCACCATTACACCATGGAACCCTACAGTCTGTGATAAATCACTGAGTATTATAGACTCTAACTCCACCCAAGTTGCTGCAAAGGTCATCATCTGGTTTTTATGTATGGATGCATAATATTCCATCATGTAAATGTGCTATATTTTCTTTATCCAGTCTACTTTCGACAGGCAGCACTGTGGGTTCTATGTATTTGCTATTTGTATTGTTTTCTTTTACACATAAAACTAAAGTGCTTTATTAACAGGAGATGCTTTCAGAACATAAGATGAAGAACCACTTCACATCCTTTGATTTCCAACCCTCTGATCACAAATGACAGATCTGAGACCAGAAAAGTCAGAGCAGACAGGTGCCACAGCAAGATACCTCTGCATGTATGAAGGTATTCCATACTGATTTTAGAAAAATCTTTTTGTTTCTGTTTTTGTTTTTTTTTTTTTTGAGTTGGAGTCTCACTCTGTCGCCCAGACTGGGAGCAGCCACCGCAGCCTCGCCTACTGGGCTCCGGAGATCCTTTCTCCTCAGCCTTCCAAGTAGCTGGAACTACAGGTGTGCGCTACCATACCTGGCTAGTTTTTGATTTATTGTAGAAATGAGGTCTCACCAAGTTCCTCAGGTAGATCTCGAATCCTCGGGCTCAGGCAATCCACTCACCTCAGCCTCCCAATGTGCGGGATTACAGGCTGAGCCACCAAGCCTGGCTAGAAAAGTCTTTTTATACCTATACCATATCGGTAAAGACTGAAAAGAAAGCGTATACACTGCTGAGGGTAAAATTCAAGAAAGTTGGGTTTAGAAATTCCTATATAGAGAAAAGTATATACAAAACTACCTATAAGATTAACACAAGATAAATACTAAGACTTAAAATGTATGCTAAACAATAATAATATTAATAGTTACATGTTGCTTACTCTGTGCCAGTCTTATTCTAAAGCATTTTTGAGATAGTTTACATAAATATTTTATATACTAAAGAAATGATTTTTGCTACCATGAAGAAATGGAAAGATCTGGCAGTCATTTAAATTTTAGAGATATATAACTGTGTACAGATCTTTTGGTTTTTCATTGGATTTGGTGATATCACATGAGTAGGGCAATCTTACCTTTTCTTGAATAGATTCTTGTATTTTGGATAAAAATACATTTCAATTCAGCATTGGATTTATTGTTCGGGGGAAAAATTTCAAACATACAAAAGACATTCCTTCTTCAACACACACCCCGGACACCATCAGCCTCTTGAGGACAGCATTTCAAAGGTGTCAGTATAAATCCTAGTATCTTAGAAAGTAGGACATCTGGTATCTCATCAAGTAGGACAAGAATGTGGTCAAATTACAGAAATGCAAAGTTGCATTTTCAGTGTCATATTTCTCTAGGAATAAAACAATGCAAACTTTTAAGATGGTTACTTGAGTAAACCATGAACCCAGCTATTAAGAACATGTTGGCCAGGTGCAGTGGCTCAGCCTGTTATCTCAGCACTTTGGGAGGCCGAGGCAAGAGGATTGCCTGAGCCCGGGGGGGCTGGGACCAGCCTGGGCAACTTGGTAAGACCCCGTCTCTACAATAAATCACAAAAACTAGCCGGGCATGGTAGTGTGCATCTGTAGTTCCAGCTACTTGGAAGGCTGAGGTGGAAGGATCACCTGAGCCCAGCGGGTCAAGGCTGCGTTGGCTGTGAGCATGACACTGCACTCCAGCCTGGGCGACAAGAGTGAGACTCAGACTCGAAAAAAAGAATATGTCTACCGTTGCTCAAACTGGGTCACACACATCACTCCCCTTCCCGATGTGGCAAGGGGGAGAGGGCGGGGAGCCCCACGGATGCCTGCAGCCCAGACGTGTCTGAGAACAGTCACCCTGGCACAAAGGGAGCTGAGTGGCTCTTTTCTGGCTCTGCAGCCTCCCGGTCTCTGCACGCCACATGCAGGGGGAGTTCATGCAACTCCTGGAAAAACGGCACACAGTGATGAGCTGGGCCCATGGGTGACAGGCACTGGCACGGGCAGGTGGCCAAGCTGGTTCACAAGTGAGGAGTGTCTCTGAGAAAATGGAAATTTAATTTCCTTCTGCTGCCACATTTAACTTTGCAGAGAACGGGACCCGGAGGCCACATTTTCTGGGGAATATGGCTGAAATAGGATATGAGATACTCATTAAACATTCATCTAGAATTCTGTTAAAATACTCCTAAATAACCTTGCATCATCATAAAACTGAAGCATTTAGCGAGAGAAGCATTAACACTGCACTGAATTTCTCATGTTATCAAGGGGAATTTCCTACAAAATGCAGGGAAAAATACAAGAGTAAGGATGAAAGCTCACCAGATGGGGTCAACAAGAACTAAATATTTTACAAGTTTAGGCCTAATTTAGACAGCAATTTAAATTTGAGTATTAATGAACAAAAGGACATTGTTTTGTGGAGTTAAGATACATTTTTATACATTAAGTATGTAAAAGTCACCCGGTGCGGTGGCTCAGTCTGTCATCCCAGCACTTTGGGAGGCCAAGGCGAGAGGATGGCCTGAGTGTGGGGGTTCGAGACCAGCCTGGGCAACTTGGTGAGACCTTGTCTCTACAGTAAATCACAAAAACTAGCCAGGCATGGTGGCGTGTCTATATAATTCCAGCTACTTGGAAGGCTGAGGCGGAAGGATCGCCTGAGCCCAGCAGGTACAGGCTGTGGTGGCTGTGAGTGTGCCACTGCATTCACTCCAGCCTGGGGGACAAGAGTGAGACTCCAACTCAAAAATAAAAAGTATGTAAAAGTCAATTATCATATATTTTAAAAACCCTTGGCTTTTCTAGGTCTTCACAAACTAGCTCTTCTTGATAATAGACTTAGGGTGGAATCTTTCTACATAAATGTCTTGCCATGGAAAGTGATGTATGCTAAATATCTTGGCCAAAAAGAAAAGAATCTGCCATTTGGGTTATGGTTGCCTTAACCTTTAGATGCCTACTAAGAAATATATGGCTATATATTATGTGTGGTTATATATTATAAGTAAATAACATGACATAATGCCAGATAACTAATATATAATATAACATATTATGTATTATGAATATACTATATAACATGATGTTCTATCCAAAAATATCTACAGTTCCAAATAGATCTTTTACTAACATAAGCAAACTATCAGCTGAGTTTTTAGAAAAATAGGTATTATATAAGACGTAACTCTTAAATGACAATTCCTAAAATTAGAATAACTATGAATGAGTTAATGAGTTTTTCATAATTCAGCTTTGACACTAAAAGTTTGTTTATTACTTTTAATGTTTAGTAATCATATCTGAACACTTTCTTAATCTGGAATGAGTGTTAAAACTGTACTTCCATGTACACATACACAAGTATGCTTTCTGTTTATCAGTTTGTCTTGTTTTCCAGGCTAACATTTACACATTAAGAAACATGGTGCATGTGTCCACTGACTTGGATCCCCTACTTGGAGTTAAGATATTCAAGGTCAGAGTAAACATCTTCAGTTTGGTTTCATTTTACAAACACTTATTGGGTTTTTTTTTAAATAGGGGAGAGAACTGACTCTACCCTAGAAGAACTTAGAAACAAAAGGAGACCTTCAGAAAGGTAATGTTGTTATGGGATGGTAGCAAGTAGAAATGGGGGGTGTACGGAGAGTCAAAGGTGAGGTACACTGCTCCCTGGGCAACGCAGGGAAGGCCTGCTAGAGGGACTGGGGCCAGAGTTGTATCCTGAAGGTGACAGAACACCACGGGCCAAAAAATGTGGGGGGCATCATCGGCCAACACCAGAGCAGTAATGGAGATTTGGAGGCATGAAAGATGCCCCGAAGGCTAAAGAACACCATGGTCAAGAAGCGGGAGGGACATCATCGGCCCATGTCAGAGCAAAAATGAAAACTCGGAGGCATGATCGATACTTCGAAGGGTAAAGAACACCGTAAGCCAAGAAATGTGCAGGGGCATCGTAGGTCCCTGCAAGAGCTCACATGGAACCTCGGAGACATGGAAGATACCCCGAAGGCTAAGGAGCACCAGGAAACGTAGGGGGCACTGTTGGCCAAGCAAGAGCACAAGTGTGGACTCAGAGGCTTGAGGAGAGCAGGATGCGTTCAGCGTAACCACGAACCTAGGGACAGAACATGCCATGACACGGCTGATGGGGTGAGGGCCAAGCTGAGTTGAGGACACGGAGGGCAGGTAGAACATGAAAGGCTCCACATGGGTTTCGTTCCTCCCACCGCAGGGAGGATGCTGCACAGAGATGCACATCCCTGCCGTGGACAAGGGATCTCAGCACCTGGACGTGATGCACCTGCTTCTCCCCCAGCAGTGTCAGAGGTGGTCCTCTCTCCAGCTGCGATCAACTCAAACATGAATGAAGCACAGAGGACTGTCAAGGTGAGTGATTTCCACAGACAACAGACCGAGCAATCGTCTAAAGCAAAGCTAAGGGCACCAAATGCCGTCTGCAGCAAGTTCTTGGGAGATGGCACTTAACGAAGCCGTGAGTGAGCATGTGGCTCAGGCAGGGCCACATGGGCCATGAAAGGAAGAGAGCGCACAAGACACCATCGTGCACAAGCAGCTCCCAAGGCTTTTCCAGCTGAGCCCTCCGTCCACGCTGCCGGCGGGGTCACACAGAGCCTCTCACCTGGGCAGGTACACTTCCACTTTCTGCTTCTTCACAGAGCGCGCCCACTCCTCTATCAGCTGCGCCTTGACCAGGGGCTCCAGCGTGGCCAGAGGGACCTCCTGCCGCGACAGGACCAGCATCATGCTGAGGTCCTCACCCTCGTAGGGGATCTCCAGGACTTGGTAGATTCCGCCGGCTTCGTTGGAGCCATCACTAAACTCCCCTGAATGGGAAAGAAAGACCCAGAAGCCTCAAATTCAAGATTTGAAAAAGGCTCACATTTGTCATGAGTTTCTTCCAGAACAGTGTGTAGACTCTAGAAAATCCAGGCACTGGAGGGAAGGAGGGCTTACTGGAAAACAGGCCCTGATTCAAATGAACCCTCACCGAATTTATTTCATTTTAGGATCCACAGAATTATTTCACATTTGTCATAGCACGTTCTCTAGACTCACTCCTTATTTTTAAATGAGATAATTCGTTATATTTAAAGGGTGTTATTAGAAACAATGAATAGTCCCAGTTAGAAAAGTAAAGTCCTAGCTCCAAGCTGGATGTCAGTCCCATTTACTGACATCCACCTGGTTTATAAGAAGGGGAAAACGTGACCATGTAACACCTGGACCTCTCTCATCGCCATAAATAAAAATCTGAGGCAGAGTGCACAGCCAAGATGAAGTCTGAGCATTCTACAACAGTTTATAGTGTATTTGTGGCGATTATGGTTTCCGCATTAGGTAAATGAGGTCATTGGTTTTGTGCTCTGTGAAGTTAGCCAAATTAGCTAGGCTGGTACAACAACATAAAAAGCCTTTAAAGCAAATTGTTCTGCCATTACTTTAAATGTTTTCTCACTTTCAACAATAAGTATAATGTTTTTGCCGTGAATATTTTCCTAAAACCGATCAAGGTCCTTTAGATCAAAATGAAAAACATTTTGGTTTCCATGCAAATGGGCATTTTATTTTCTTATTTTGACTGTTAACTTGATTAGTTGCGATTATGGCCTTTTAATAGTGTGATACCCTTTAAAATAGAACATACTACTAGTTCTAAGATATACTTGACTTAAAATTACCTTTCTGTTTATGACTTAAGTTATTACAATTCAGAATACTGAATAGAAGAAGAAATAATAATGCCTTCGGCTTCTGAGGAACCCAATGAAACATCTTTGAAAATAATGTCTAGGATAAGAAGCCATATCAGTAATTATACACTCTCATCAGTGAAACTATGAAAGGATAATTACGTCTGACCATACACACGCATCTGTAATCAAAATTTTAAAGGGAAAAGAAGTCCTTGCATAAGAAGAATGTTTGTAATTTAAAAAGTGGTGTGAGGTCCAAATCCAGTGCTTGGAGGAACACGGAGTTCACAAAATCCATCCCACAGACAGTGGCTTTCTGGAATCAGGAAGTTTTCACACAACGTCAGGTATTTTCAGGAGAATGAAACCACTCCACAGGTGTGATCAACTGTATATATTTAAAAATATATTGGAAAACTGTCAATGCCTATAATATTCACTCAGAATCTAATTAGAGGCCTTTCAAACTAGAGTCAGAGAAATTGAATTGTAGCTCAGATTAGACTGACAAAGAGCCTGGGTAATAAACAGTTCATGGTCTTTCTTAGAAATGTGTTGACATACTGCAAAAGAGAAAAAAAGCCCCAAGTCTCACCATAATAAAACTCTCCTTGCTGATACATCATTGGAATCTGGATTTCACTTTCATCATCTTTAGTGAAAGAGAAGGTTCTGGTGTTCTCAGGTCTAAACTGCGACTTCCAGTTCCCCTTGAAATAGAGAGCATTGACGAGGACCAGATGAGTGGTGGCGTCAAAATCCCTGGGGGACACCAAACCCTTCAGCATATCTGTTGAGGAAAAAACGGAGTGGCTGAGTCCACATGAAACTTGAAGGTGAAGGGGGCCAAAAGATGATCAAACCATCGTCGGATACAGTGGCCCAGAGAAACTATAGGCCAGGTTGATCATAAAAATAAAAAACTTACTTTCAAAGGGAAAAGAGTTAGACACACATACACACGCATATACAAGCAATTATATGAGGGAGGGCCCAAAAAACCGTAACTTATTTATAAAAATTGTGTATTTATTCTTTCATGTTTGAACTTCAGTCACATTCAAAGAACTCTTCGCTGATGCCATACGCCTATTGTGACGCTTTTTTCACTGCTCAAAACAATTTTTGAACTCATCAATTCGGATGCCTTTTGGTGCATCTGCCGTTTTTTGTTTCACCTCTTCCCCATCAGCAAAACGTTTCCTTTTGAGAACTTTTTTCATCCCAGGAGACAAACAAAAAAATAGTCGCCTGGGTTGAGACTGGATGAATAGGGGGGGTGGGGCACAGGAGTCATGCTGTTTGGGTCAAAAATGGCTTACCACTCAGCATGATGTAGACAGGTGCATTTGTAAATCACGCATCTTGAAATGGGCAAATGCACTGAAAGAGTCTCAAAAAAAAAATCACTGAAGCTGAATGCAGTCACAACCACGCTAGCTGGTACACAGTTGCTGATGTTCGGAGAACACTTACCTAGTGGGGAAAGCCTGTGCTACAAAGGGCCTGTCCTCCAAAAGAAATTCCGGGTTTTTGGGGGGTCCCCCTTCTATAATTAGCAATTAAGGGCATTCAAAACACCCACACCACCTACAATAATACCAGTAACATCTTGACACACAAACTACAGGCTCACAGACCCTGGAATCCTAAGCCTTACCACTTCCTAGTTGCAATAACGCATGCAAAACTCTTTCCATAGAGTAAGCACTCACCAACTGTTTCCAAGTTTGTTTTTGAACATGCACATGGTTACACGTTGTCCAATTTAAACTTTTCTCCAGGTACACTAGACATCAGCCTACCCACACAACAACTGCCTCTGACTAGGCGAAGTTAGAAGAGTGAAAGCCAGACTTAACTCACAGTGTGTTACTGGCAATTATGGGAAATGTTCCTTCCAAAACCATTTGAGAAGATACTGGGTCTTGGCTGTCTGCTGAAAGTGTCTAAAGGAGTCTGCAAACAGACTTTGATAATGCAATCTATTTCATCATTCTTGATTCTTCTTTGAATGTTAAAAACTAAATGGAGCCGGGCTCGGTGGCTCAGCCTGTAGTCCCGCGCCTTTGGGAGGCTGAGGTGAGTGGATCGCCGGAGCCCGCGGGTTCAAGACCTGCCTGGGCAGCAAGACCTCATCTCTACAATAAATCAAAAAATCAGCCGGTCGTGGTCGCGCATGCCTGTAATTCCGGTTACTCGGAAGGCTGAGGCGGAAGGATCGCCCGAGCCCAGCGGGTCGAGGCTGCGGTGGCCGGGAGCAGCCACTGCACTCCAGTCTGGGCGACAGAGTGAGACTCCAACTCAAAAAAAACCAAAAAAACTAAATGTAAATTTCTTTTATCCTAAATTTTAATCTCTTCTTCAGGTGAAAGGTGCTTGAGTGTCTTGGGGAATGAAGGACACTGAGTATCTGCTCAGGTTTTTTGTTATTGTTGTTGCGATACAAAGTTCTAGATGAACATTATTTACGTGGTTTTGAAAATATGGCTTCATTTAACAAATAGTTATCGTAATCTACTTTTTTTTTTTTGAATTGGAGTCTCACTCTCTCACTCAGACTGGAGTGCAGTGGCCACTCCCGGCCACCGCAGCCTCGACCTGCTGGGCTCCGGCGATCCTTCCGCCTCAGCCTTCCCAGTAGCTGGAATTACAGGCACGCGCTACCACACCCGGCTGATTTTTTGATTTATTGTAGAGATGAGGTCTTGCCTGCCCGGGCGGGTCTTGAACCCGCGGGCTCAGGCAATCCACTCACCTCAGCCTCCCAAAGACACGGGATTACAGGCTGAGCCACTGAGCCCGGCTCGTAATCTATTTTAAATTTATCTTCATTTTTTATATTTCAGTTTCAATTATTTAGCTGGTATTGAAAAATAAAATGCTAAAGTATGAAATATTTAGAAACCTTAAACATTTAAAAAATATTAAACAAAAATAAAGTTTACAATAAATGCATCTCCTTCTAATTTTTCTCCATATGTTTGGACTTAAAATGAGCTTCTCTTTTCAAAATAAATCCTATACACATTTTCTAAATTACCAATCAAGTTATGTGGTCCAAAAGCCAACCAACATCTTTAAACTTTGATATTTAGCCCTCTCTTATTCTAGTTCCTTCCTTCTCTCCTCCCCTCCCATCTTTCCTTTCTTCTTTCCTCCCTCTCTCTCTTTCTTCCTTCCTGGACAAGGTCTCACTCTATTGCCTAGGCTGGAGTGCAATAGTGCAATCATAGCTCAATGCAGCCTTGAACTCTTGGGCTCAAGTGATCCTTTGACTTCAGTCTCCTCTACAGGTATGTGACAGCCCATTTTTTCCATTAAAAACAATTTTTTTAGAGACAGAGTCTCACTATATTGCCCAGGCTGGCCTCAAACTCCTGGTGTCAAGCGATCCTCCCACCTTGGCCTCCCAAAGTGCTGGGATTACAGGTGTGAGCCACCGCACCTGGTCCTCTCGATTTTAATTGTATTGTTAAGAGGGCACCAACTGCCATTCTATCTAGTGACTAGTTTATCAAATAGTCAACACAAGCAAAATTCCATAAAGTAGTTGAGATTACTCTACAGAGAAAACCCATCAACCAGACAGCACAGATTTCAGCGTGTCCATGCCAAACTCTACACATGCCAAATGATTTAACTTCTTTCTCGAATGCTCACTCATAAACAGTGTTTCTAAAATAGGCCATAATCTATACAAAATAATCATTAGATACCCAACTAAATGCAACATGACATTCCAAACACAACAGGAGTGAGGGGACAAGCACTTTGAGAAGCAAAAGACAGCCAACACCAAGCTACTCAAGAGCGGGGAGCCAGCGACGTACTGCTTGTGTTATTTTCCACCCACTGGTTGATGCGGTCGGCCACGGCCACGTTGTGGCTGAAGTCCACATGATTGACTTCGGCATGAAAGTATTTTTTCAGCATTTGCAAAAACTCCTCGTTGATGTGAAATCCATTTTGCACAAAGAGGGAATTGGCAATTTTCATCACATACTGGCTCTCTTTAGCAGCTAACATGTTAGAAAAATCCTCCAAGAAAGAGAATTCTTCACCTGCAAGATGACAGGGGACAAGTCTGTTGGTGGAACGAACATGGTGAGAGAGAGAAGAGAGGTCAGCTTTAAATCACAGCCAGTGAGAGGAACAGACGAGCTGTAGAAGGCACCGGGCTCCTCTGTCCACACTGACACAGTCCCATGCTTGTACGATTTCTACATATCCAAACTAACTTTTCACAGGTTACAGTGATCGACCAGTAGCTATTTTTTTACTTCATTGTTATCTTGCTAGAATCTATAGAGATTTTTAAAATTTGTTTTCTTTCAAATTACTCAGGTTACTTTTATGAAGCTATCTTATTCTGTAACTATCAGAAAGACAAAAAATTATCTGGTTTAAAATTTAAGATATTCCTCTAACTTTTACTCAGACCTTTAAGAAAATCCTCATAACTAGAAAATATATTAGAAATTGTCTTAGTGTTTAACTTTTTAAATGACTTAATCATGTATACTAGGAGCATTAAAATAGAAATCCTACATCATATTAAAGTGGTTACAAAATGCCATTTGGCTAGCACTTTCCCACAATACATATACTTTTTATAATGAGATAACATTCCAAAAATGTTATCAGATGCTATTTAAGCAAGGAGGATACGATTGACTTTAAGTGAACATGTCTGATATTCTTTGAGAATCACGCTGCTTTTCTTTGCAGCACTCATCAGAGCTGCAATTTCTCATTTATGTGTGTGATAACTGATTAACATATGTCTCTTCCTCTAATCTGAGAACTGCAGTATAACGTTTGCTTTAATTTATCACAATGGAGTTTGTTTAAATAATACTAATTTTTTAAAGATGCAATTTCCTTAGATTGACCCAGCCAAAAATGGAGACAGGAATTAATGCCTTTCTTGGGTTTCCTACCCTTCTCCTGGCCTCGCCATCTCAGTGAGATCATTTCTTCCTCTGTGTAAATATGGATGCATCTGGGATAAGAAGACAACATAACTGAGTTCAAAGTCAGAGTCGCAAGTCTTAAGAAACCAGACCCAAGCACACGTACCACTTTTCAGACTGTCGTAACCCATGGAATGGCGTATTTCCTTCTGGGTAGACCCTTGGGCTCCAAGTTCCATCATTCCCATCGCAAGAGCAATACTCAGGGGAGAGAAGAAGATGTTTTCATCTTCCGCAGTGGCTCTTAGACGGTTATACGTGTTCACTGACAAGTCAGCGAGGGTTTCATCAGGAAGCACGGCCCCTAAAGCCACACTGTGCAGAACCAGCAAACAGAAGAGTCCGAGGAAAGCCATATTGGAATCGTCTCGAGCCTGTAACCCAAAAATTTACATGTTAGCTACTAATTATGTCAGAGAAGTAGAGTGAAAGGTAAAAATATAGAGAATTATTTCTTGGAAAGTTGTCAAGCAAACCAAAGGAATGTTGTATCTCTATGACAAAAGGCTTATTAAAGGATGTGTCAGAAGGTTCTACTTTCAAAAAGTCAATTAACAGCCAGATGAACAAATAACCCTGCTACATCCTGAGGCTGCCCCAGGAACAAGATAGCCATGGTCCCCAGCTTCACGGGGTTAAGTCCAGTTTCACATATGACAAGTGATCACCAGTCATGTTTGGTAAAGCAAACTTATTTCTGCTTCATAGCCTCACCCCATGAATTGGACCATGATCTTGAATGACTTTCTCTAGCTCCCACTACCCCAGAATAATGAAAACCAAAAGACAAATTCAGGCAAACGAGCATAGTCAAGCACGTGAAAACGCCGCTCTACCCATCTACTGTGATTTATAAAGTGAATCCACCTTGCAGGTGGGTGCCAACCCGTGAGCAGATCAGATGCACCGCTGACACCCAGCAGTCTAGCCTGCAGAGCCCCCGGGAAGCTGTCACCCGGAGCACATCCTTGGGTTGATCCTTCCTCATATACTGGGCCCTGTAAGGTGCTGCTCCTGGTGACAATCCTTGGGCAGGGAGGATGCCCCTACCCCCCACCAATGTTGAGGATGAGGCTGGATTCTTGCTATCATATGGCCCGTGGATAGGCAAGCTCACCTGACCACGTCAGTGCACATCAACACACCGGTGACCTGATTCACAAGACATTCCTCAGTCAGGCTCCTCTGGTTCTTAAACCAAACTGAGAAGGCATCAAGGCCACACTTTCTGCCGGAGGAGAAGACAGCCATGGTGCCCAGATGTCTCTAGATTATATCTTGTCCCCGGCGTGCCAGGACCCCAGCAGGCCCACCTCCCACAGGCTGCCTGGCCCGTATGCCCAGGGACAGGAGGTCGCCTCGTCTTTTATTCTCCACTGTGTCACGGCAGGCATCCGATGGCTAAGCTGCTTATTCAGGTAGTTAAGTAACTTACTCGTTCTCGGTCATTTAAAAAAAACTCACTGAAGCAAGACGTAAGGTGATACTGACACACTCAAACACACTCGCAAAACTGTATTTTAAGGAGGGCTGAGCCTCAACAGTGCCCGTTATCAGTGAATAGAGTGGTATGCATTTGGCTGGAGAGCAGTGGTGCCAGCAGGGCTGGAGTCAGAAGAAACCATCAGTCCTGTAGCATCCGTCACTGCAGTATCAGAGAGAAACCTGGTGATGGTGAGTCCTGGGCAGGTTAAGGTGACAAGCGTCGTTTTCCATCTGGAAAGATCCGAGGTCCCCTGCCCCTCCCCACCTCCCTGCATCTGTACGAAAGTGTAAATAATCCTTCCTGTAGAGTCCATGTGTGTGAACACAGACTCTCACGGGTGTCACTGCTCACAGGGGATGACTTCAGACAGGTGCCGTCACACACGCACGGCAACAAAGCATGCGCCAAGAGCCTGTGCCAAGAGCCCTGCCATCCATGACTTCAGCCACTACCAGGAGGCCGTGGCGCTTTCCTCACGTGTCTGTGGTGACGTGGGTGTCAACAAACCCCTGCATGGCCAGTCGGATGAGAGTCTAGCACATAAAATGATGTGCAGGACATGTACTTGGCAGTGGTGACAAATGGCTACCGGTTTATGTCTTCACTACTTCACTAGACTACCCTTTTTCTCCTTGTTTTAAGATGTGCTTCTTCTCCTTGTAAAGCAAAGTGGACTGCAAACAGCCTCAGGCAGGCCCTTCAGGAGGTATTCCAGAAGAAGGCATTGTCATCGCAGGAGATGACAGCTCCGTGTATGTGGTAGGTTATCCTAAAGACCTCTCAGTGGGACAAGATGTGGGAGTGGAAGGTGGTGATGTTGGTGACCCTGGCCCTATGTAGGTGCAGGCTAATGCGTGTGTTGGTGTCTCAATTTTTAACAAAAATATTTAACAATTAAAAAATAAATAATCTATCTTCCACACCTGAGATGAAAAAAATAAAAAAATAAAGCTCACAGAATAAGGATCTAAAGAAAAAAGATTTATTTTGTACAGCGGCTGTAGAATGCATTTATGTATTATTACAAAAGGGTCAAAAAGTTGTTTTAAAAATGTAAAAGTCGCCGGGCTTGGTGGCTCAGCCTGTAATCCCGCGCCTTTGGGAGGCTGAGGTGAGTGGATTGCCTGAGCCCGTGGGTTCGAGACCCGCCTGGGCAGCGAGACCTCATCTCTACAATAAATCAAAAAATCAGCCGGGCATGGTAGTGCGTGCCTGTATTTCCAGCTACTTGGAAGACTGAGGCAGAAGGATCACCTGAGCCCTGCAGGTCAATGCTGGGGTGGCCGTGAGCATACGTGCCACTGCACTCCAGCCTGGGTGAGAGAGTGAGACTCCAACTCAAAAAAAAAAAAAAAAAGTAAAAGTTTAGAAAGTAAAAATGCTACAGCAATCTAAGGTTAATTTATTACTGAAGAAATAAAATACTTTCCACGAAATTTAGTGTAGCCTAAGTGTTCAGTGTTTCTAGCGTCTACAGTAGGGGACAGTGGTGTCCCAGGCCTTCATATTCATGTACTACTCACTCACTGTGTCATCCAGAGCACCTTCCAGTCCTGCAATCTATTCGTGCTAAGTGCCCAACGTAGCTATACCATCCTTTAAGTCTTCTGACTGTGCCTTTTGCAGGTTTAGACACACACACACTGCCATTGTGTTACAACTGCCTGTGGCATTCAGTACAGTAATATGCTGTATTGGTTTGTAGCCTAGGAGTAGGGTAGACCATCTAAGTTTCTGAAACTCACTCTGTGATATTCACACAAGGATGAACTCACCTGATGGCTCATTTCCCCAAATGTATCCCCGTCATCAAGCAATGCACAACTGCATAAAACCAAGACATTAAATTCACCATATGATAGCTGTATCTGTCAGCCAATAGCACAACCATTTGAAAACCACTGCATTTAACATGAGTGTCAAATTTTACACTAGTACAAGTATTTTATTCACATAAAACAAAAACCAACCTATTGCCAATAAGCATTCCAGAAAAAAAAGGCTAAGTCCACCACATTCTCATGCATTTTTACTTACAAATCAATGTACCATGAGATGCTATTAATAATAATTGCTTACGTTTGTCGAGTACTTTTAACAAGTATATTATTTAAGCTTTGCAAACACCCTATCGTAGGGGCTCTTATTGTCCTCTTTTATAAATGTAAAGGCAACCTTACAGAGGTTACGGACTTGCCCAAAGTCTAATAGGAAGTGTCAGAGCCAGGGCTACAGTTCAAGGCATCTTGACAGGGCTGTAACCACTAAACAATACTGTCTCTCCAGTCTTTGGACTTGGGCGACAGACTTGGATGTAAGCCATGGGTCTGATATCGCATAGTCTGACCTCAGCTTTGGCTTCCCCATCATTCATGAAATGAAGGCCCTTATCTCTACTCTGCAAAATTACTAAAGAAAGAAATGGGAGAGTGTGTATGAGGCGCTCATTTTAAGCTCCGAGTGATATTGACAGAGAATGTTATTATAAGAAAAAAAATGTTTCTTTGATGCCTGCCAGCACTTTGAATTCAAGGTGGCCCAAACAGGACTCCTTATCCATCAAACCCATTGTTTTTTCTTCAAACACCAAGGTATCCAAGTTCGTTCCATCTTTTCCCTCCTGTTTAACTGTCAACTCTTATTCCACACTGCATCCCTGGAATCTCTCCTCGCCATCATCCAGTCATTCCAAGGCCAATCCCACAGCCACAATGGTGGCTCTTCCTCCTGCCATGTTCTCCAGTTTAGGTCCCCACACACTCTCTGAGGTCCTGCCCTCTTACATCTGGCACGGGCTGAGCCTTCAGATCAACTATCTTGATGTACACACGACCGGGTGATTCCATCTCCACAAACTCTCTTTCAGCCTGGACCTGCAGCCCCAGTCTTTCATCTTGGACACAATCCTCTGCATACGCCCTGGCATGACTCTCTCCCATCCGCCCCTCCATGGACCCCACAACTCCAGGCAAACTCCCTTTTGCAACGCACGCCCCGGCATCTCTCTCTCCTGCTGCTGACGTGTGTGGCTCCCTTTCTGAAATGATCTCAGTTAGGGCCACAAGATCAGCTCCTAACCACTTCTCAAAGCTATGTCACTTCATGACATTCAGGAACACCATGCGGTTTCTTCCACTGAAACAGCCCATACTAATCTGAAAACGTGGAATGTTTTATATCCCTAGCTCTCCAGTAGCACATTCTGCGGCATCTTTCTATAGAAGACAGCTTCATGCATGAAGCACTACTTCCACTAGCTTTTAGGAGGGCATGAAGAGAAAAATACTAGTCTTTGCACATCGCAGGATACTCAGAATAAGCACCCCAATCCCAAGCCAACGAAAACCCTAACTCCAAAACCCACCCAAATCCAATCACAGCACCATCCCAAACCAAATCTCAAGCCAAACCCCATTCAAACACCAACCCTAACCAACCACAAACCCAACCACAAACCTAATACTAACCCCAACACAAACTACAACCAAGCCCTAACAAAACCCAAACCCTAAAACCAAACCTAATCTTAACCCTAACCCTAACCCAGCCACAACCCTAACCACAACTACAATGCCAACCCAAACCCTAACCCTAACCCCAACCCAAACCCAAACCCCAATGACAACCGCAATCCTAATCCTAACCCCAGTCCTAACCCCGACCCCAATCCTAACCCAAACCCCAACCCTAATCCATCTCCAATCCAAACCCTAACCCCAATCCCAACCCAAACCCAACCCCAAACCCCAACCCCAGTACCAATACCAACCCTAATCCCAACTCCAATACCAACTCCGACCCCAATCCAAACCCTAACCCCAACCCAAATCCAAACCCCAACCCAAATCCAAACCCCAACCCTAACCAACCCCAACCCAAATCCCAACA